AGTTGGGGTATCAATCAAGCAGATATAAACAAAAAATCTTAAAACTCACAGGAGAAAAAAGAACTTATTAATAAATGAGTGATAAAAAGTAAACAATTGAAGGCATTACATTATTAACAAGAAAAAATAAATCTATAAATCTAGCATAACTAATGAACTATTACAAATATATATTAGAATTTAATACACTAAACTACTCATTTGTTAACAAATAAATTGTGTTATATTAAATTATAAAACCACTGAGACAGTGGCATGAGAATATAGTATGCATGCACATGTTACAATATTAAGATTTTATTTGATGGTTTAATCAAATTTAGATACTGCTCATCTCACACGTGGAGATACTGGGGGGAGATGCCAATGCTAACATTTAGTAATTAAGTTATGAAAATAATCATTAAACATTATAATATTGCAATATTAAAATACTATAGAGAGAGAGAGCATCTATTGCAATTCTGAACAGTATTGCCTTATCTGGCCAACTGCCAACAAAAGTTTGCCATTTGTCATATAATATAGGGATCACAATCCCCCAGTAATATCTGTTATAAATTGATCAGAATTTTCAGGAAGTTTGGAGATTATCATGTTCTTAGATATGTCTCTGTAAAACAGAAGTATAAAAGAATGCATGACATGGAGTCCCTCACTCTTATTTCACAGGAGCAATATTTTTACAGAAGAGAATTTTTTTTAATCGGCCCTCCAGAATTGCTGACAAAAGAATATTGAAACAGGCAAGACTGAACACGGCAATATTTAAGTCTGAGCTTTTGTTATCATCCCACTTTCTCATGAATTAGGTCTGATTCTCAGTTGTTATATTTACAGAAATTGTGTGCAATCAAACTGCCAATCTCTATAAGAAGCCTTTACCTCAGTGTAGCCTTTGCTTGTTTGTATCACATTCTTGACAGCATTTAGCAATGAAACTCCACATTGGAATATTTTCTTCGGGACTCTTGACTCAAATAGACTGGACTGCTAGTGATCTGTCAGTATTAAAAGATCCAGGCTTGATCTGTGGAGGAAGTCAGTGCAGTAGTTAAGAATTGTTAACAAGGCCCTGGTCTTTTCTTCCTCTAGCTCACTTCTAGTGGAGTCCTGTATAACTAGCAAAGAAAATACAAAATTATGACACTTTTGTTTTCAATTTCCTGATTTGGGTTATTCAAAAATCAGCAGATGCAAAATATTTTTTTAATAAGTCTGCGAGCATGTCCACTCAAATTTTGTCCATCCACTTTGGTAGAAAGAATTAAACCCTAAACCCTAAAATTATAAGTACTTGATTAATAGCATAAATAACTTAAATGAGACGTCAAACTGCTTGGGAAACTCTTTTAAACTCCAAAATTGCGTACCATATAAATAGCTTTTTTCTGCCAAATTTTACCACACTAGAAATGGGTTTTGAGATCAGGTTTCCTGCTTCCACGTTTACCCAATGATTGCTGGAAGACATTTGCTTCATTTCCCTTCCTGTTCATACCATGTTATTTTCCACAGGAAATGGCTTTTTTTTTCATTGAACATAAGACCTTAAGCACTGTGTAAGCACTGCAGGGTAACCTATTACAGAAGCCCACTTGAAATAAGTTTCCATATTTACATAAAGCATGTAAGTTCCTTTAATGGGATATTGGCATTTTCCTATTAATAAAAGTCGGCAGCAAATACAAATCTAGAAACTTCAGTGATTATTATGCCACCATTTGTCATTTTAACTGATTTCTTATTAAATTCCATATATTTAAAGATGAAATAATTCTGATGTCATAGATATGCACCAAATGAAAACATTTCATTCTGTTCTGTAATGAATAGCAACTACAAAAATAGATCTTGGCATTATACAGTATGTGAATCTGAATATCATATACCATAGTTTATGAAACGAAGTATGAATCCAGCAAGCTGCAGCTTATTCATTCATACATATTGAATAAGTGTGTAAAATTGCAGTTTAGAGCAATTTAAGGTGAGTATTTTTTATTACAAAATCCTGAAACTGACAATAATTAAAGAAAACTTTAATCTTGAATGCAATCTTGCAAATGTCTAAGAAATAAAAATATTAAAGTAGAACCAAGTATAAATAGAAACTTTTCCAATCTAGCATAATGTAGCGTTTACATATTTATCAGCAGCAATTTAAAGCCCATGTTTGAGAAAAACTTTTTTAATTCTAAAACTCACTGTTAGACATCATAGGTAGAATTCTGGCAGAGATAGTTAATTTGGAAAATAAGATGAAATTTATTCCACTGTAAGCTAGTCTTGAATAAGACCAAAAGTGTCACCCTCAAATATCAATAACCTAAATTCAAACACTTTAGCATCATTTTTTGCTATTCTAACATCAAAATAAACTAACCTGTTAAATAGCAAAGTTTCACTCTGAAACACAAACGTGAACAGTTACAGCTCTGAGTAATTCTACAGCAACGTTACTGAGACTTTAATCAAATATTTCATTCATTCATTCTAGAATGCAAATAATGAAATCACTAAACATTCATCAACCATTAAATCTTTGAAATCTGAAGTCCAAAGAAAAGAAGAACAGATGCAGGAACTGCAAGAAAAGTATGTCCCAGTTACCCATTGGTTGTGTTTGACTCCCCCTTTTGGCAAAAATGCATTTGCTTTACATTCATGGAGAATTTTCAGAAAGTGATCTTTCCATATATATTTTTTTCTTTTGGCTTATTATGTATGGTTCATATTATTTATTATTTTAGGAGAAAAGTATTAATACATATTTTCTTTTAAATTGCTGAGTAATTTTCAGTACAAAGGATGATATATATAACTGTAATAAAACATTTTAAAAAAATCAGATTCCAGTGTGCACCTGATTATATCCAGCTAAATGAATACCTCAGCATAAGTGAAAGATTTTCAAATACAGTGGTTCTTTGCCTAAGGGCTAAGAAGCACATCAAGGTTTAGATGCTTAAATTGGATTAAATGTCCAATTTTATGATTTCTGAAAAATGCAAAAAGACATTTTGATTTATTTTTGAGCTTATTAAAATGTACATTTTTGCAAATTACTTGCTTAGTTAAACATAAATACCAAATTGTGAGTGAACCTAATAATATTTAATCTTGGTAAATAAAAGTTATTTCATTAAAATGTTTAATCTTTAAAAGGATTTAACAAAATGCATATTTTATTGATTAAAGCCTTAAGGAACACCTAACGAATTCAGCTGGAGGTGAGAGATAGCATTCTGATATGCCTATGTCCAACCACTATATTACAGTATAGAGTAGACACTGAATATGCTTCAATATTCTTGATTGTCCCCATAATAGGCAAATATGTCTATTGAAATGTAAATTATTTCCATTGGCTTTTACTGTGATTTTTGCTGGATCTACCAATATGTGATACCTTAAAGATATAAAAAGTAATTAAAAATAAAAAATGAATTCTGTATAAGTATTATGTTGGTTCATTTTATTGGGATACCATGTTGTTGACACAAGAAAATATGAACAAGTAACAGTCATAAGTGTAGATTTTTGTCTGATATGTCACCCAATAAACAGTTTCTTATTTCTTTCTTTTAGATTTGTTATTTAGAAGTTGTACATTTTGGGGAAATCACATTTTCATAGTTGAAATTGGTCTTTTGATTTGCCGTAGCATAGCTGCACTTTACTTTTTAAAAAGTACCTCATATTGATACAAAGGTTTTTATGTCCTAAATAGTAGTTCATAATCATGGCGGCCAATTAACATGGTGACACTTTCAAAAAGCTATAATTAATTTTAATTTATTTTTCCCTTTTTAAGCCTAGTAGACTAATAAAATATTTTGCTCCCCTTTCATTTATAATTATATCATCATAGTATGGTTTTCTATAAAATAGTGGTATTTTTATTGTTCTGAATTGCTAGTATGAAATGTGGGGTTTAACATTTAGAAGCCCACAGAGGTTAAATCTACTTTTAATGCCATTGCACAAAGGGAAAACTTTGAAGACTTTTCACTTGACAAATGGTACAAAGATAAGCATGGAACCGGGCATTAACAATTTTTTAAAATAATGGCATACTATGAATATTTCATTTTCTCTTTATTTCAAGGATTTCTAGAATGGAAAGAGATATAAGTATGAAAAGGCATTTAATAGAAGATTGGAGGCTGCGTATGAAAACATATCAGGAAAAGGAGAAAAGCTTTAATGAAACATTACAATGTCTAGAAGAAAAGGTCTTTATTTTTTTGTGTTTATTTTAAATCAACAAACTGAATTCCACGAGATTGATTAATTGTAGTAGCCATCATTATGATTAGTACAGTTTCATTTTTGCAAAGATGTCTCTTAAAGCAGTCAAATAACTGAATGCAATAATTAAATGCTTCTTAGTATTTTGGCATGTTGTTCAGCTGGAATTTCACATATCTGTTTCTTGAAAAGAGACATCAAAGAAGAGTCTTCTTGCAGTATAAATCAAGAGGAAAATATCATAAAGGGAAAACAATGACCTATAAATTATTTTTATAATAATAGTTATGTGTGATCCCTTCCATTGTTATATATTTAATGATTCCATTTTATGCTCTTCTGAAAGTTGTTTTCTTCATAAATATTTAATGTATTTTTCTGATGCTTAAACAGATTGGAAGAGAAACTGCCCCTTAGTACCTCTGCAGTGTGTTTTAGCCCTGTTTTATAGCAAACAAGTCACATGTGTAGGAATCTCTTAGGCTGCAAATCATAACATCCAAGAAACATAGAAACAAAGCACTACTTTGATTCTTTTTTAAAAGCAGGTGCTAGCTTTTTAGGTGTGAACATAGTTTCTGCTGCCAGTCATACATTGTCAGTTTCAGACAAAACTATCTTGCTCTGTGTATATGAGAAATCACTTAGATACTGTCAGACCAAGAGACAAAATTGGCAAGGTGGGAAAAATCTCAGACAATATAAAACTGAATCAGGATAATTTCTTGAAGAGAAGGCAGTATGAAAAAGCATTTTAGAGACCTATGTTATACTATGCAACAAGGTAGTGGTGATGTTTTAAGTATTAAAACTATTGTGATTTTCTGGCTACCTTCTGTTAGAAAAAAATCAAGTGTATTATATGCAAGAATATCACCTCTTTAGATATGCTTTGTAAATTGATTCCTTTTTTATATAGACTTGTTTTAAAAATAATAAATAGCTATTAACTGTTGGACTATATTATTTGTAATTTTTCTCAGCAGTACTGTATGTTGACATGCTTATGCGTTTCAGAGTTTTTAAGTGCTAGCATTTGGCTTCTTGCCCATGATTTTGATAAGTAGTAAAATGTTGCAGTAACATGCTCACTTATCTATAAATAAATCCTATTGATTTCAATGGATAATATCCATGTTTGAATAGAAGCCAAGATAGCCTGCATTCTATTCAGAAGGTAAATGAATTATGTACAATTAGATGTGTGAAATATTTTGATAGTGTTGATTTTCCACCTGAATTATTTAAATGCTTTCCTTAATAGTTTTTCTCTGGATGCTGTTCCAGGCAAAGGCATTAACTGAGGACTGTTCAAATAAAAAAATATCCATTGATTCATTAAAGCAGAGGCTTAATGTAGCAACCAAAGAAAAGACACAGTACGAACAGATGTATCACAGAACTAAAGAAGACTTGGAGAAAAAGGTACACAATTATAGATATTATGGATGATTAAGATGAGGATTTATTAGACTTACACCATGTCTTCAGTTCATCAAGGTACTTGTATCCAATAACATTAAGGTGTACAAAAATATGAAAGAAAACACATTTAAGAAACAATTTCAAATATATGCTAATTAAATTATTAAATTATTTAATAATCTATCCTGTTTTCTGATGCACATTTTTTTACAAATAAATAATTCCATGATTGATGCCTTTGCATTTTTAATTAAGTAGCATTTGTCTTGAGTTTCATTTAAAGCCATGTAATATATGGTTGTAATTCAGAAGAAATTTCTGAAGTTGAATTACATTAATTATAATAGAATGTTGAATGCTTTTAACTAGGGTGAGATGTAATTTTCTAAAATACACTGTTTTATAGTAGCACTTTCCCTATTCTCTGACTTTAAGGTAGTCTTATCAGATAAATATTTTCTACAACAGGTGAGTACCCAGAAAGCAAGCCTCTGATGAAATTTACTTTCTTCTCCCACGATCCCCTTTTGTTAGGCAAAGTTCTGAATGAATTTATATTAATGCCAGGCTATTCTACATTTTGGAGTTCCTTTGTGTTTTTGGTTTGTTTGATTTTTTTAGATGTAGCAAAGGTTTGAAGGAGGTCTTAGTGTTACACTGAATTATGACTAACAAAACACCTAGAAAGAAACTTCGGATGCATTCTATTCTATTGTTCTATTGCTTCAATCTTATATTATAAATCTTTCTCTGCTTTTTACAAATTCTCTTCTCAGAAATTTTAAACAATTCTGTATGGTTGAGCATAAACCTATCTCAGTTTCTCCTACAGCTTCAGTACAGGAAGCATGAGCTTTTTAGAGCCAAGATATTCAGGTGTAATACAGTAAGCACTCAACACTGGACAGTTTACAGAGAAAGCAGCATCTGTACTTATAAAAGACAGACAAGCAGACACATTATTTCCCTTGAGTTTTAAACAAGACAGTCTTAGGTGTGTTTTATATCTAACTGGAAGAATTGATAGGAAAAAAGACTATAGAAGATGGCAATGAGCTTTACAATTATTTTTTTGTAGGATCTTCTAGACACTGTTAATTTCTTTCCAATTCAGAAATGCTAGAAGACACTTAAAAAAAACTGAACAAAAAGAAAAGATATTTGTGTCCTTTCTGAGGTTTAACCCTCCTCTGCAATCTGCCTAAATTAATTTTTCCTTTTGCCAAATTTTCTAAGTGTTGAGAATATGGTTCCCAGGTATCTGGAAAACAACACATGGGAAAGTTGACATAGATTAGTTGGAATGTAGACTTATTATATATATAACAACTATATTATATATTTATATATTATGTATTTCAGGAGCTTAATCTTTCCAATCTAGAAGCTAAAATAGCAGAGACAGAATGTACCATGACTGAACTTGAAACAACGGCCTCTCAACAGCTTCACAGCTTAGCAAGGCAAAGTGAACAGGCAATTGAAATGGTGCAGAAAAAGTTGATCATGTCCAATGAAAAAGTGGAAGAGTTCATAACTTTTGTAAAGGTTTGGCATTTTAAATATCTGTGTCGCATGTAAATTATATATATTTGCATATATACATACACACACACACACACATTTTGTACAACAATTTATGTGTGAGGTATATAGCTATTTATATCTATACATCCCTGGGGATTGTTGGCACCTTGAAGGCCTTCCCCCAGGCTTTTT